GTTTAGGGTTTAGGGTTTAGGGTTTAGGGTTTAGGTGTAGGGTTTAGGGTTTAGGGTTTAGGGTTTAGGGTTTAGGGTTTAGGGTTTAGGGTTTAGGGTTTAGGGTTTAGGGTTTAGGGTTTAGGGTTTAGGGTTTAGGGTTTAGGGTTCAAGAGCTCCTGGTCGAGCAGTTTCTCGTTTAGGCTCTGTGTTTAGAACATCGAAAAATACCCACCCACCCGAAGTTCCCATAACATTAAGAAATAAAAAGTTTCTTCTTTTTATTAGGATGGTTCAATAACAAAATGAATGACTTCCACTTAACAAACGAGGAGGTGGAGATACTAAACCACGCGAGGCTTTGAGGTCTTGAAATCTTAAACTGAGGCTCAAACCTTGAAAAAAATTTAAAACATGAAAAAACGAAGGAAAAAAGAAGGAAAAAAAAGCCTGGGGTTCCCCCCATTTGGGGTGTTTTTGGAAGCAAATTTTCCCTCATGGGGGGTCGGAGTTCGAGGCAAGGGGGGGTCTCCGAAGATTATTTTGCCTTTAAAATCGAAAAATGACCCCCCCCCCCTGACCAAAATCATTATGAAAAAGGTCGCGGAAAAGTCTTGAAAAAACTTGAAAAACACAAAAACCCAGAAAACGAGAGGCCACCCAGAACCCTCGATTTCAGTACTAAAAATTCGCATTTTCATTGAGGGTCTAGGCCAAGCCTGAGGTCCCTTTTGGGGTGTTTTTTGAGGCAAACTTTCCCTCTCAAGGGGGGGTCGGAGTTTGAGGCAAGGAGGGTCTCCAAAGACTATTTTGCCTTTAAAATTCAAAAATACGACCCCCCCTTGACCGAAATTAGGCTGTGAAAAGGTCGCGGGGGCAGCCCTTCCTCAGAAAAACCCGGAAAAAACCCGAAGAAACATGGAAAAACCTTAAAAAAACATTGAAAAACCTTGAAAAACCCTGAAACTTGAAAAAACACGGCGTTGAGGCCTTGAAACCTTAAACACAGGCCTTGAGGCCTTGAAACCCTAAACGCTGGGCCCTGAAACCCTAAACACAGGCCCTGAGGCCTTGAAACCCTAAACGCTGGGCCCTGAAACCCTAAACACAGGCCCTGAGGCCCTGAAACCCTAAACACAGGCCCTGAAGCCTGGAAACCCTAAACGCTGGGCCCTGAAACCCTAAACACAGGCCCTGAGGCACTGAAACCCTAAACACAGGCCCTGAGGCCTTGAAACCCTAAACGCTGGGCCCTGAAACCCTAAACACAGGCTAAACACAGGCCCTGAGGCCTTGAAACCCTAAACGCTGGGCCCTGAAACCCTAAACACAGGCCCTGAGGCCCTGAAACCCTAAACACGGGCTTTGAGGCCTTGAAACCCCAAACGCTGGGCCCTGAACCCTAAACACAGGCCCTGAGGCCCTGAAACCCTAAACACAGGCTTTGAGGCCTTGAAACCCTAAACGCTGGGCCCTGAAACCCTAAACACAGGCCCTGAGGCCCTGAAACCCTAAACACAGGCCCTGAGGCCTTGAAACCCTAAACGCTGGGCCCTGAAACCCTAAACACAGGCCGTGAGGCCTTGAAACCCTAAACACAGGCTTTGAAGCCTTGAAACCCTAAACGCTGGGCCCTGAAACCCTAAACACAGGCCCTGAGGCCCTGAAACCCTAAACACAGGCCCTGAAGCCTTGAAACCCTAAAGCTGGGCCCTGAAACCCTAAACACAGGCCCTGAGGCCCTGAAACCCTAAACACAGGCCCTGAGGCCTTGAAACCCTAAACGCTGGGCCCTGAACCCCTAAACACAGGCCCTGAGGCCCTGAAACCCTAAACACAGGCTTTGAGGCCTTGAAACCCTAAACGCTGGGCCCTGAAACCCTAAACACAGGCCCTGAGGCCCTGAAACCCTAAACACAGGCCCTGAGGCCTTGAAACCTAAACGCTGGGCCCTGAAACCCTAAACACAGGCCCTGAGGCCCTGAAACCCTAAACACAGGCCCTGAGGCCTTGAAACCCTAAACGCTGGGCCCTGAAACCCTAAACACAGGCCCTGAGGCCCTGAAACCCTAAACACAGGCCCTGAGGCCTTGAAACCCTAAAGCTGGGCCCTGAAACCCTAAACACAGGCCCTGAGGCCCTGAAACCCTAAACACAGGCCCTGAGGCCTTGAAACCCTAAACGCTGGGCCCTGAAACCCTAAACACAGGCCCTGAGGCCCTGAAACCCTAAAACAAACCCTAAACACAGGCCCTGAGGCCCTGAAACCCTAAACGCAGGCCCTGAAGCCTTGAAACCCTAAACGCTGGGCCCTGAGGCCCTGAGGCCCTGAAACCCTAAACACAGGCCCTGAGGCCTTGAAACCCTAAACGCTGGGCCCTGAAACCATAAAAACAAGCCCTGAGGCCCTGAAACCCTAAACACAGGCTTTGAGGCCTTGAAACCCTAAACGCTGGGCCCTGAAACCCTAAACACAGGCCCTGAGGCCCTGAAACCCTAAACACAGGCCCTGAAGCCTTGAAACCCTAAACGCTGGGCCCTGGAACCCTAAACACAGGCCCTGAGGCCCTGAAACCCTAAACACAGGCCCTGCTGCTGGGCCCTGAAACCCTAAACACAGGCCCTGAGGCCCTGAAACCCTAAACACAGGCCCTGAGGCCTTGAAACCCTAAACGCTGGGCCCTGAAACCCTAAACACAGGCCCTGAGGCCCTGAAACCCTAAACACAGGCCCTGAGGCCTTGAAACCCTAAACGCTGGGCCCTGAAACCCTAAACACAGGCCCTGAGGCCCTGAAACCCTAAACACAGGCCCTGAAGCCTTGAAACCCTAAACGCTGGGCCCTGGAACCCTAAACACAGGCCCTGAGGCCCTGAAACCCTAAACACAGGCTTTGAGGCCTTGAAACCCTAAACGCTGGGCCCTGAAACCCTAAACACAGGCCCTGAGGCCCTGAAACCCTAAACACAGGCCCTGAAGCCTTGAAACCCTAAACGCTGGGCCCTGGAACCCTAAACACAGGCCCTGAGGCCTTGAAACCCTAAACGCCATGCCTTGGGGCCACCCTTGAGGCCCTGAAACCCTAAACGCCAGGCCTTGAGGCCCTGAAACCCTAATTAGGGTCTCAAGTGTTTAGGGTCTCAAGGGTTTAGGGGCTCAACGGTTTAGGGTCTCAAGGGCATTGTGGGCCTTGGGCCTTGCCCACGAATTTTTGGGCCTTGCCCACGAATACTTGGGCCTTGCCCACGAATATTTGGGCCTTGCCCACGAATATTTGGGCCTTATTTGGGCCTTGCCCACGAATATTTGGGCCTTGCCCACGAATATTTGGGCCTTGCCCCCACGAACCAACAACCCCAGAAATTCGTGGGCAAGGCCCAAAAATTCGTGGGCAAGGCCCAAAAATTCGTGGGCAAGGCCCAAAATCCGGATTTGGGCCTTGCCCACGAATATTTGGGCCTTGCCCACGAATCTTTGGGCCTTGCCCACGAATATTTGGGCCTTGCCCACGAATACCATTAAGGTTTATAATTATATGGTAGGAGAGGTTTAGGGTTTAGGGTTTATAGAAATTGTATAGGGTTTGTGTCCGGAGTTTTGGGGGGTTTTGGGGGGTTTTGGGGGGTTTTGGGGGGTTTTGCCGGGTTTCGTTTTTTGCTTTTACTCCAATGGTTTGGGCCGGAGGTGGGCTGGAGGGGCTGCAGGGGCTGGAGGGGCCGGAGGGGCTGGAGGGGCTGGAGGGGCTGGGCTGGAGGGGCTGAGGCTGGGTTGCAGGGCGGGGGCTGGAAGGGAGGGGCTGGAGGGGCTGGAGGGGCTGGAGGAACTCAAGAGCTGGAAAAAGTGGGGGGGCTATAGGGGCTGGGGGCTGGAGGGGCTGGGGCTGGGCTGGAGGGAAACTGAAGGGGCTGGACGGGCTGGAGGGTGGATGGAGGGGGCTGGAGGGGCTGGGGGGGCTGGGGGGGCTGGGGGGGCTGAGGGGGGCTGCGTTGGGGCGAGTGGGCTGTGGGTGGGGCTGGCTGAAGGGTTTGGCTAATATTTTTGCACTGTGAAGGATGAAGGATTATTGCACGAGCTGCTCGTAATGAAACACCTACAATTTCTATTTATCCTGGCCTTGAGGGTTTAGGGTTTAGGGTTTAGGGTTTAGGGTTTAGGGTTTAGGGTTTAGGGTTTAGGGTTTAGGGTTTAGGGTTTTCGCTGCAAGTGCGCTTCGACCCCCTCCATGAAGTGGTTGGGGGTCGGCGCATGAGCTGCAATGCCCCCCCTCCCACCCAAAATACAAACCTTGGACGGGTTTAGGGTTATCTACCCCCCTACCCCCCTATCAAGGGGGGATAGATTGTTTGGTGGAGCAGGGGTAAATTATCACCTTCGACAAACCGTGGAGAAAACCCTCTTCAATTTGCAGAGTGCTTTGTTTCCAGTTGGCAAATCTTCAACTCAAGACGCGGTAACTGTCAACAACAATTGAAGGAAGGCAAAAGTGCATTGTTTTGGTCGAGTAACATAAACATGAATGCATGAGCACCGCTTCTTTGAGAGCCAAGATTCTGCGCGCAAGACAAATGCAAGTCATCTGGCGTGCCAGGGTGGGTGAGGGGCAACTCCAGGAGCACTGCACCAAGCTACTTCCGTCTTCAGTACGCATGCAACAAATCACCAGGCCTGTGCAACTAGAGTGCCATATGCAAAAGGCTGACGACCTTGATTTGCCGCTTCCAACGCTGTCCTGCGGCAGGTCGAAGATGCACCGTGCTTTGCGCTGCCTAGCGCCGCGCGGCACCGGTTACTGAAGGTGAGACATGTCAACTACCTCGCTGTGGGCCACCTGTACGTGTGTGGCCCAATGATGTGAAACGACTTGAAAAGGACGTCACTTGGCTGGAGTGAAATGATCCTCTGTCAAGATGCCCGCCAACAGGAAGTCCTTGTAGTAGCCGACCCTACTGATGGCAGTGTAGGCCGCGGCAGGCACCTTCGGGGCATCCAGGTAGACGACGACGTGAGGCAGCTCGGCGCCCTGGAACTTCAGGATGGTGGACGCGTAACCCGGCCGGACGGGATAGTAGACCAAGCCACCCCTTTCCGGGTCGGTCCATGGCCAGACGCTGACCACGAACCCGGTGGCAGTGCGCACCAGCAGGCCGCCCGTGTTGTCGTCGTACTTCAGCACCGTCGCCTCCATTCCATTGACGAAGTCGACATCCTTCCGCACATTGCGGGTCAAATATACCCGCATGCCCTTGTAGACGGGCATAGTGGAGGGCTGCAGCTCTGCAGGTGGCTTCAGCTTGCCTTGCGCATAGTTCTCAGGATTGGAGTCCACGTCAGCTGGCAAAGTCGCACTTGGAGGGTACTTCGGGAAGAGGGCCTTCAGAGCAGTTCCGTTGACCACAGCAGCACCCCGCCTGGTGCAAGTCAGGATCGTCGTGTTGGGCTTGGATTTGAGGAGCTTCTGGAGTCCCTTCACCGTCGGCCGGCCCGGCGGCCGCCACGCCATCTTCTTGCGGAGCTGCCGGAGCAGCTTGGCATTTGGTTTGCCGGTCCTGAGGGTTGCCAGCAGCTTGGCGTGCACCTTGTCCTTGCAGCGGTACATTTTGTGGAGGGCCACGCGGTAGCACATGGTGTTCCAAAGGCGCGAATGCCACGGGCGCTTCTCCCCCATGCCGGGCATCTGGTACCGATCACCCAGCAGCGCGAGGGCCGGCGTGCGCTCTGCAGCTGCCCACAAGCGCAAGATCCTGTCGAAGTTGACCATGTCCAGTTGCGAAAGCTCGTCTACGACAATGAGAGAGTACACGCTCAGCAAGGACGCCTCGCCATGCTCTGCAGATTCATGTAGGCCAAACGCGGCGTGGCAGGTGTCGATGTCGATCTTGTGGCCGTAGCGCGCCTTCATGCGACTGGCCAACTGGGCGGTCGGCAAAGCCATCAAGACCTTGCCGCCCTTGGTCAAGGCACGGTCGATGCAAGAGAAGACCACCGTAGTCTTGCCGGTCCCGGGTGGTCCCAGGCACACGTTGGCCTTGCTGTCCTTCGCCTCTTGTCGCAGACGGTCCGCCTCGCCCTCGTCCTCTGCGTCCTCGATGGCCAGCGCTCTGTCCACTGCGCTGTCCACGAGCTCTTTGAAGCCTCCGCAGGCAGGACAAGAATTGTATAAGCGCATGACGCGCATGTGCGTCAACACAAAAATACACAAACCATCTCCACCAGGTTTTTTGATGCAGACGAGGCTCGGAGTTGCTGCCTGTTGAACTTGCTAGCGTCCACGGGGCCTGCTTTCTTCTTGCAGGTCTTCGTCTTGCTGCGGCACTTCTCCTGGGTTTGCCGGTCCTCTCGGGCATCCAGGGTGCCATCAAGGTATTCCTGAAGCAAGCCGCGATGCGCACGGATCATGGCCAGGATGGTGTCCACGTGATCCTTGGTGTGTGCCTCCATCTTCAGCTCGGCGCGGATCTTCTCGTCGTCCTGCCACATGGCCTGCGCCGCCGGGTGCTCGCAGAGGATTGCCATGGCGAAGTACTTGTGTGCCTCCGGAAGCCGTTGGGCGACGTGCTCCGGCACGCAGAAGTCCGTGGCTTCCTCGAAGGGAACATGAAGCATGAGCCACTGGCCAAAGTAGCGGTCGTTGAACTTGGAAACTGTCTCGGCGGCCACGACTTTCTCGCCTTGCATCACGTAGTTCGCAGCAAAGTCCTCTAGGGTGGCGCCGCCGCCAGACTGCACGTGTTTCTTCTTGAGCCAGTGGCAGATCTTCCCCTCGGCCGTGGTCTTGCGCAGGTAGTCGAGGAGGCTGATGCGGCCACGAGCCCATTCCGCCTGCTCGTACAGCTCCACCTCGCGCAACTTGGGCTCCTGGTCAGGGTAGGGCGCCACCAAGTCGCGCTTGCCGCCGCTCTGGGTGGAGAGGTGCCACTGGCGGAACTTGGCACCGAAGAGCTGCAGCACCATCTCGGGCTCCAGCGGCCGGTAGCGCATGAGGACCGTGGCGGCGATGCTCATGGCGTCAGCATCGTCGTTGAGCCACTCCTCGCTGGCCGCGTCCGAGAACTTGCTGACGTACTTGGTGACGTAGGCGCGGAGTAGGCCGTCGTCGTCGCACATCTGGAAGTCTTGGTGGCAGCGGAGCACCTCCATGAGGTCGACGAGGTAGGGGCGCAGGCCCTCGGCATGGTCGTCCTCCGTGTGCTGCAAGCGCCATGCACCAGCCTGGTGCCTCGTGGATGGGCCAGCCGCTCTTCTTTTCCTGATCGTACTGGCTGCCTTCGACGTAGCCACGGAGGTCCGCGTCTTCGGGCAAAGTGGCGGACACGGTCTCCGCCAGATCCAGCTGCTCGACGTGCTCAGGCTTCACGAAGATGACGACATGCACGTGGACCCGGCCCGAGCCGTGGTAGTCCTGCGTGGCTGCCTTGCGAGTGCCATCCTGATACTCGAGCCGCAGGAAGAAGTGCAGGCGACAGGCCTGTCCCCGCTCGTCAAGAACGCGGAAGATGTTGCTCTTCCACGCCTTGTGCCCATGTCCCCCCGTTTGCCCCAACAACAAGCCTTTCACAGCTTGGACCATGACGTGCACTATGTGCAGCGTCTCCGCCACCGGCAGGAAGAGGCGCTCCTTGAGCATCTTCTGCATCTCGTCGCGGACCCACTCGTGATAGGGGAAGCTCCATTCGTAGGGGGCGATGGTGAAGAAGATGCGAGGGTAGCCGATCTGCCGCACCATGTCCAGCAAGGCATAGTGCACTCCACGCCAATAGTGAGGGCTGAAGGCCTCGCCCTTGAGCGTGAGGCGCATCGGCGTTGGCAGCTGCAGGTTCTTCTTGGAACCGATGCTGCTCCAGAGGTTGAGGTCATAGACGAACTGGAGCAGCTCGAAGTCTGCAGCATAGCCCAGGAGACGACCCAGTGCCAAGGCAGCAAAGAGCCGTTTCATGCTGTGGCGCGTGGCGTCATTTGCTTCTGCGTCCTCCTCATTTGCCAGCTGGCTCTCCTCTTCTTCGCTGTCATCGTTGCCCTCCACCTCCTCATCGCTTTCTGCAGGAAAGGCTACACGCCCAGCAGGCCGACCGGCATTCAGCACGTCCTCCAAGGTGGCTGCCCGCTCCTGCCGAATCACCCGCCTGGGGTCCGTGGCACGCTCGTGAGTGAAGGTGCGCTTCACATCCCAGAACAAACCAGGCCAGAGGGCGCACTCCACGCCGACGCGTTCAATGAATTGTAGCCGGCGACGGCGAGTGAGCTCGTCAGCGCGGTGTTCTTCCAGAAACTCCGCGTGCTCGGCCACAAAGGTCGCATAGGGTGTGTCATCCGAGGCCATCAAGAAGTCGTAAGCTGCGCGGGCCTTCGTCCGCATGTTCACGTCCTGGCCATGTCAGCGAGCAAACACATTGCTGAAAATGTTAAATGTAAAGATTCTGATAGGACACCTGCATACTCAACGCCTCAACGCCTGGCCTGCAGGTGCTTGATGCGCTTCTTCACTGTAGTCGTCTGCCAGCGGAAGCGGATCATGGTCGTCTTCTGGCGGTAGCCGGATTTGTGCTCTGCGCGCACGATCGGGCCCACGTCGATCTCCAAGGGCGACAAAGCTTGCGCAGCCTCTACAGACAGCTCACGCAGAACCTCTGGCACATCTGCCAGCGTCACGACCGGCTGCGCACGTGCTGCGTTGCATCTAGAGCACTTGCCGGAAGGATTTGTGGGTGGCTGGGGTTTGTTGAGCGTGCTCTCTGTGAGGTCGCGAGGCGCGAGGAGGCCGCAATTCTCGCACATGCTCCAGGAGTCGAAAAGGCACCAACGCTCGAAGTCCTCGGCCAGCCGGCGGCGCTTCGCCGGGGGCAACCCAGCGGTGTTCTCGACGGCCTCGCCAGCTGGCGTTCGCTTTGAAGGCTGGCCCATGCGGCGCCGTGCCCGAGCCCTGTCTGCCAGAACCTGCTCTCGATATTTCTTTTTCGTTGCAGCCGACGCTGGGGCTGCAGCTGGCTGCCGCGATGCCAGGGCGCCTCTCCACAAGACGGGGAGCTCCTGCCTGTCCAGCCGACGCCGGCCACCCCGCTCAGCCGCGCGCTTGGGCGCCGGACCCTGCAGCTGCGCTTCAAAATATTCTACCGCGTCGGGCGGCAGGCGTTCTTCCAAAGCACGGGCGCGGGCAGCCACTGATAAGCGCCGGAGCTTGCCCAGAACCTGCAAGAGTATGTTTCTGCATTCATGTTCTGCGCACTTCTGTACGTCACACAGAAAAAGAGCATAAACGCTTGGCTGAACGGCCTCTCGCTTGCCAGCTTCCTCCATGCACAGTGGCCATAGATCTTCAGGTCGACAGAACAGGCAGCGCGTGCTTCGACCCATGACCCGAGCTGGGCCTCCACGCGCTGCAAGAGCAAAGGTGCAGCGCTCGCCGTTCATGCCGATGCACACCTTGGGCTTGGCCAGCTCTGCTTGGAAGTAGCCACGGAAGTCCTCCGGCACGCGCTCCAAGGCCAGGCGTTGGTAGTCGGGCGTCAAGGCCAGCAGCAAGCGCTTGATTTGTCCACGCGAGCGCGGCTGGACACAGGCGGTAGCCAAGCGGTCCGGATCGCAGAAGACCTCAGGCAGCAGTGCAGCTTGGTCAAAAATGGACAATGCCTCTTTTCAATTTCTGGCTTGCCGTTTTTTTTCTTCAGCATTTCCTCTGCCACCAAGGTGCACATGCGGGAAATGTGCCTCGTTGCGCTGCACGTCCAGGGCTCTGCGCAGAGAAGCAACAAGGAGATGCCGCTGTGCCAGGACACACGGAGGGCATGGCTTTGACAACTGCAGCCTGAGATCAACGAAAGGATGACTCGCGCCACAACTCACAAGACTCGAACCAGGGCGGAGAGAGGACACAAATCAAACTCAGGCTTGCGGCTAGATTGCCTAGATTCAAGAATGACATCAGGCTCAAACAGCAGTGCAGGGCGCGACAAGGCCCGGGCATGCGTGCAGCTGGGGAACCGTGTTTTTCCATCTGCGACCTGGAGCGCATTGAGGTGTGGTGCTGTACAGTGGGCTGCGCCTGTGCTAGTCTTGCGCTGCCACGACTTTGAAACACGATGGCCTGAGGCTACTCACTCCTCTCCTGGCTCGTTCGCCACGACCTCAACGCCCGCAGGCGCTTCTGGCAGTCCTCCCTCCTCGGGCAAGCCGGCGTCCGCCGCAAGCCGAACCTGCTCATGAATGCTGTTCGCCTTGGCCGCCATGTCCTGCATGCTATCGAAGATGTGGATCAGCTTCTCCTTCTTCGGCAGGCGCGTCATCTGCTTCAACGTCTGCAGAACCTTGGCCAGCCCGTGCTCCGTCAGCACGGCCTCGGGCACGTTGTCCAGCAGCGCGACCAGCGTGTACAATGGCAGCCTATTCTTTTTGTTGTCCTGGTTTGCCACCATGGTCTGCAACTCAGCAGCAAACTTGGCCACCTCTGGCTCTGCCCAGGACAGATGTGGGTCGAGCCCCGGAGTTTTTGCCTCCTCCTCCTCCTCCTCTTCCTGATCCTCCAAGGAAAGCTCAACGGCCGCCGGCCTCGTCGATGTGGCCCGCTTCTTCGGAGCTTCGGCTTTCTTCAGCTTCTTCTTATCCTTCTTCTTCTTCTTCTCATCACTTCCACGGGAGTGGGAAGACGAGGAGGAGCCAGATTTGTGGTCGCTTTCGCTGCCAGACTCCTTGGCTTCGGAATTGTCCTCCGACTCAGAGCCGGACTCCTCCTTGCCAGCTGCCTCCTCGCTGCTGTCTCCGAAAGCCCGTTTCTTGCGGGGAGCTTTTGCTTCCAGGCGAGCCGCGTTGGTCGCCGCGACGGCTTCCACGCAACTGTCCAAAGTCTTCTTCTGCATGAACTTGCGGACGGGTTTGTCCTGCTTGGGCTCGTTCGGGATCTTCTTCGCCCACGCCTTCGGGTTGGATGCGAGAGCGCAAAGCTCCAAACCAGCCATAGCGCCAGCGTACATGCGTGAGGCTGTGTCTGCCAATCGAGCGAAGTCCTTCACCCGTTGCTGCAGAGCTTCCTTCTTTCCAAGCTTCTTCAGCACCTTCTCGGCGTGCTGCTTCAAAGAAGATGCAGAGGAGCACGCCTTGTTTGACAGGTTGACGGCTGCCAAAGCACTGCCTAAGGGCTCCAAGAGCTTCTTGACAGCTGGAATTCCAGTTTGCCCGAACTTCTTCTCAGACGATGAAGGAAGCACCGCCAAGGCAGCTGCGCAGCATTCCAACGAGGCAGAGGCCATGCTGATGCCCAGGCCTGGGCGAGCGATGCACTCCGAGGACTCTGCTGTAAGCTGCTCGGTCAGCGTGGAGGTGGTGAAGTATTCCGTCGGCGCTTGCTTGTCCGTCAGGAGCATGCAGCCATCCTCATCGGGCCAGCTGCGGAGAAACGCCTTCAAGGGCAACTTGTAAAACGGTACACCTGGAGGATATTTGCCCTTCGCCTTGCTGTCCTTGGTGACGCGCTTGCCCGTCGATTTTCGTGGGACCCACTTGCCCATGGCTTCAAGTACGCAGACCTAAACTGGAACGCTAAACGTCTCTAGCTGCTAGCTCTCGCTCTTGCGCAGCACAGCTATCGGAAGGGTCCCCGCGCTGCTGCTGAACTTAGACTAGTCACAAAGCCAAGGCATATGACCTCCACGGACCAAGGATTCAATGTTTGCACCGTTCTGATTTAACAAGAACAAGCAAAGCCTTGCTAAGACCAGCAGCCGATGTTGCACCCACCAATATTTTGTCTGCAATGTCCTCGACTCGAACTAGCCCTTCACAAAGTCCAGGTCTTGAACGAGCCCTCCTTCATCGCCCCGTGATAGACTGGGGCTCAAGGCCATCGTCCGTGCACAGGCAAAGGATTAAATGCAATGTTGTTGTTGAAAAGAAACTGCAAAGCCTTGCTGAGACCAGGTCGCCCCATGCCCGAATCACCTCAAGAATGGATCACCCCAACAACTGGGTCACCTCAGAGCTGGGTGTGTGCCAGAACTGAGTCACCCCAGCGCTGGGTCACTCCAAAAGCTTGAGTCACTTCAGGATTGGGTCACCCAGCCTTGTCTGCAGCCGAAGGTGCTTTGCCCAGGCGTTCTGTTTGTCTTCAATGTCCTCGATTCGAACGAGCCCTTCACAAAGTCCAGGATTTGAACGAGCCCTTCAGCAGGAAGTCCTCCTTCTTCGCCCCGTGATAGACTGGTGCTCCAGGCCATCGTCCGTGCACAGACTAAGGGTTCAATGCTGTTCTGATTTAAACGGAAAATACAATGTCTTGCTAAGATCAGCAGCCGAAGTTGCACACATCAATCTATTTGTCTTCAATGTCCTCGACTCGAACCAGCCCTTCGCAAAGTCCAGGTCTTGAACGAGCCCTCCAGGAAGTCCTCCTCCTTTGCCCCGACACACGAAATGGCCCGCCGGGCGGCTTTTCTTCTTGGTCCTCAAGACAAACATTTTCACTTCAGGTTGGCTGGCTTATTTGACTGCAGCCAAAGTCGCGCCATGACCGACCTCTCCAAGTAGTCCTCCTTCTGTATCTCCGGGATAAGCAAACTGGCCCTCCAGGAAGTCCTCCTTCTTTGTCCCCGGGATAAGCAAACTGGCCCTCCAGGAAGTCCTCCTTCTTTGTCATAAGCAAACTGGCCCTCCAGGAAGTCCTCCTTCTTTGTCCCCGGGATAAGCAAACTGGCCCTCCAGGAAGTCCTCCTTCTTTGTCCCCGGGATAAGCAAACTGGCCCTCCAGGAAGTCCTCCTTCTTTGTCCTCGGGAGAAGCAAACTGGCCCTCCAGGAAGTCCTCCTTCTTTGTCCCCGGGAGAAACAAACTGGCCCTCCAGGAAGTCCTCCTTCTTTGTTTCCGGGATAAGCAAACTGGCCCTCCAGGAAGTCCTCCTTCTTTGTCCCCGGGATAAGCAAACTGGCCCTCCAGGAAGTCCTCCTTCTTTGTCCTGGCATAAGCAAACTGGCCTTCCAGGAAGTCCTCCTTCTTTGTCCCGGGATAAGCAAACTGGCCCTCCAGGAAGTCCTCCTTCTTTGTCCCCGGGATAAGCAAACTGGCCCTCCAGGAAGTCCTCCTTCTTTGTCCCCGGATAAGCAAACTGGCCCTCCAGGAAGTCCTCCTTCTTTGTCCCCGGGATAAGCAAACTGGCCCTCCAGGAAGCCCTCCTTCTTTGTCCCCGGGATAAGCAAACTGGCCCTCCAACCCCCGGGATAAGCAAACTGGCCCTCCAGGAAGTCCTCCTTCTTTGTCCCCGGGAAAGCAAATTAGCCCTCCAGGAAGTCCTCCTTCTTTGTCCCCGGGATAAGCAAACTGGCCCTCCAGGAAGTCCTTCTTCTTTGTCCTCGGGATAAGCAAACTGGCCCTCCAGGAAGTCCTCCTTCTTTGTCCCCGGGATAAGCAAACTGGTCCTCCAGGAAGTCTTCCTTCTTTGTCCGTTGGATAAGCAAACTGGCCCTCTAGGAAGTCCTCCTTCTTTGCCCCCGGGATCGGCAAACTGGCCCTCTAGGAAGTCCTCCTTCTTTGCCCCCGGGATAAGCAAACTGGCCCTTTTCAGGAAGTCCTCCTTCTTTGTCCCTCGGCAAAGCAACTGGCCCTCCCAGGAAGTCCTCCTTCTTTGGTCCCCGGATTAAGCAAACTGGCCCTCCAGGAGTCCTCCTTCTTTGTCCCCGGGATAA